CGACGCGCGCGCGCCACTCCGCAATCTGCCTCTCGGAGTACTTTCTGGGCTGCTCCTTCGCCTTGGTGGCGCGCTCCAGTGGGCCGCCCGGGCGCCCCCTCGACCTGTCGACCATGTCAAGCAGCACCTTTGCACGGCCCATGTCGTCTGCCGACCTCCGCTGCATCTCGGCGAGTGACTCGCCGACGAGGTCGCGGTTACCGCCGCTTTTGAGGGCCTCGTACGCGTCGTCAACGTTGGAGATATGCTTGCCCCTTGGAGTCATCTTTGCATCACCCTGCCCTTTGGTCTTGGACATAGGCCCCCTGAGAGCGGCGGGTCGATCAAAATACGATCAGAAGACCGAGTCTCTTGAAAAAAAGAAATTTCTCGCCGCGTTGTGTGTTCACGTGCACATGCAGGCGGCGAGCACGAGTTTGTGGCCGACGGCGTGGATCTGCGGGTCGCCTTGGACGTCGCCTTGCCACCGACGATGCCCTCGTTGCCGCCCGACCCGAGCAGGGCCCCGTACCCGTTGCCGCAGTCGATCGGGGCGGACGCCTCCTTGCGCTCGTTGCGCTCGTTGTTGCGGCGCGACTTTGAGGGGGTCGTCCACTCGGTGATGCCCTGTGCACACGCACACAGGCGCGTCAGCAGCTGTGGGCGCCGGATCCGCTTGCAGAATGCGCGGCCTTCTCGGTCGGCGGGAGACTCGGCGGCGGTGGACTTGGTGGCGGCGGACTCCTCCGCGGCGGCGGACACCTCGCCGGCGGCGGACTTGATGGTCGCCTCCTCGGTGGCGGACTCCTCGGCGACGACGGCCTCCTCGGAGGCGGCCTCCTCGGCGACGGCGGCCTCCTCGGTGGCGGCGGACTTGGTGGCGGACTCCTCGGTGGTCGCCTCCTCGGTGGCGGCCTTCTCGGCGGCAGACTCGGCGGCGGCGGACTTGGTGGCGGCGGACTCCTCCGCGGCGGCGGACACCTCGCCGGCGGCGGACTTGATGGTCGCCTCCTCGGTGGCGGACACCTCGGTGACGACGGCCTCCTCGGACAGGCGGCCTCCTCGGTGGCGGCCTCCTTCTTCACGACGACGTTGTTCTTGACGCCGCACGCCTGCGCGAGGGAGAAACGTAAATGTTTGGAGACGGGGACACCGCAGGGACAATGACGATCCTGGCGTGCGCGTGCGCACCTCAGCTCCGAGGAGCGAAGGCGGCAGCGACGTGATGCCGGCCTTGACAAAAGCCGTTGGCCCGAGCTCGGTCTGAACCTGGGCCCCCTCCTCAGGCGCGAAACAAAAGCTGATTGGCACATTTGCGAGGCTCCGATGGAACACGTGGGGGTTGTCGAACCAGACGCCCCTTGTTGATCTCACAACCAAGAAAGCCGACTCGCTCTCATTGAAGTCGACCATGTGGCGCCTTCTCGGTTCGCGTCCTGCATGTAGTGTTACCAACTGATTTGTCAACCCACTTTGCAATGCCTGGGCCGGCCCTGCGCATCTCCACCCAGGGAAGGTACCTGCGACCAGGAGCAGGAGGTGCATGAAAAGCTTGATGTTGCCGTCTGTCTGTGTGGCTTCAGCCCAGTCTTGGCCCACATTCTCGCGCATACCGGTTCCGATGTGCCCGGGCTGCCTCCCCGACCTACGGTGCCGATGTTCGATTGTCGATGCGGGACCTGTCGCCGAATCCACCGTCGGTCTCCTCGCCGGCCGCCGCCTCCGTCCGCGTGTCGCAGTCCGCCGCCGCCGCCTGCTCCTCCGAGAGTGGAGAGAGAGATATTTTTTTGAAAACCAATTCTTCTCTCCGCACTCTTTCGTAGGGTGCCCACAGGACCCAAAAGAAAATAGCTTTCCAGCTCAAAAAGGGACGCACGAGGCAAATCTGATGTTGGATTGTTCCAATAGGAGCGAGGCCTCTTCCGTTGGGGGACCGAGTTCATAGGAAACGAGGGTTTCCCATTGTGACCCGCTCCAGCGCGAGCGTGACACTGCACTTGGCGCCGAGCGCCCGCGGCTCAGACCTTGTGCAAGCCGACCCTCGGTGACCACGCCGGTCCGGACCGATGGCGCTCGGTGTGGAGCAAGCAAGACACACCCACCCCCCATCGGCGCGCGCCCGACCTTTGAACGGCCGCCAGGAGCACCAAGAGGACTCCTCATGGCTGTGGTAAAGTGGGCTTCGACCGGCCTCGGCTGGGGGGGCGGGTTGTCCCGGCTGCGGACGCCTTCTGCAGCCCCCTGGGCGTGGGTCAGCACCCCAAAAATGCCCCTCAGCGGCATACAGCACTGCCAGCCAGCCTCTTCCTCCTCCTCAAGGGCTGTACTATAGGCCATATTGCGCCGCCTCCTACTGGCAGCCGGGCGGGCGCGCGCCGCGGGCGCCTCGGCGCGCGCACGGCTCGCAAAGTTCGAACGAGTACTGCCGCCCGGCCGCCTCAAGGCTGCCGGGCGGCAGTACTCGCCTCGCAAGGCGCGCACCGGCTGCTCTGGCTGCTGCGCCGGCGGCCGCTGCGCTGGCCGCTGCTGCGCTGGCCAGCGAGCGGTACGACCGCCGGCGGCCGCTGCACCCGCGCCTTCCCTCGCGGGCGCCGTCGCGCCGCACGCGCCCAATTCTGCTGGTACACGGCACGCGTCGTCACACAGCCGCGGAGAACAGGCGGTGCTGTGCGCGAAGCGCGCGCGATCTCGTACTTTTAAGGCTGGATCCGGCCATTCCAAGGGTATACCTGTGAGAATCCCCAGCGCCCCACCCTCCTAGTCACACTCTCAATATCTCGACTCTCCAACACGAAGTGCTGCGATCGGGAATGGCGCATTTTTTTTCGTTTCTTTTTTTGGGTCCTGTGGGCACCCTATCTTTCGTGCCGCTCGCTCGCCGGTGCGCGGGGCATGGCCTCCCGCGCGGCTCGCGCTCACTCGGCCTGCCTCCGCCTCACGGCTGGCTGAGCACGCCATGGGTCCGCCTGGTGCGGCGCTGCTCGCTCGCTGCGCTGCGCAAAGCTGCGAGGAGCAGGGTGGCCTCCTGAGCTTGAGCATTGCGCAGCGTGGCTGCTGGTGCTCGAGGGCGGCCGTGCGGTGGCGTGAGGGCCTGATTGGTGGTGACCTCCTGCTGCATCAGCGTGCGCAGCATGCTCCCTCACCCGGTGCGGAGGCATGCTGGTGGGCGACTGGCGCCAGCTTCTCAGTGCTGTCCTTGGCGTTGTGCAGCATGTCGAAATACTCCTGTTGCGCTGACCGGCGCGCGGGGTGCGTCATGCCGCGCGTGGAGCGAGAGGCTCGAGGCGCGCGGCTGTCGGTCAACCCTGCGGCGCATGCGCGCCGCCAAGGCTGCTCAACAGGACTGTGGCATTGTGGCGACGCGGTCGCCGTTACTCCAACTTCGCTTTGCCAATCGAATTCCGGTCGGTTATAACGGCGGAAGTGTCGGGGGGTACGGCGCTCGAAAAAGTGATCTGATCACCCGAATACCACGTTCGGATCGCTCCTCATCGCAAACCCCGTCAGCAGTCCTCCTCCGGGAATGTACGTAAGAGCTACATACACTGAAAAAGGCAAGCGAACGAGAAGTCCATAACTTTTCTTTTTCCTCCTGGCTTCTTAGCCCCCCGGCCCTGGATGTGCGGTTGCCGACTGCACTCCAAGTGCTCCAAGTGCTCCGCGTCCGAAAGTATACAAGAAGAGGCGAAAGAAGAGGACGGACACCGGTGATGACAAAACAGACGAGAGCAGGGCAGACCCGGGGACGGGGGAGCCGGAGCAGACGGCATCGGCCGCCGAGGGAACGTTGGGAAGAGGCACGAGGAGGGCGGCGACCTCAACCGACTATGGAGGACCCGTCACCAGACGACGCAGGGCAGAAGACGGTGAGGCGGAGCAGACGCGCAGGGCGAGACGAGGGAGGGAGCAGGACTTTGCGGAGATCAGCAGGAGGATGTACGAAGAGATTAGGAGCAGCAGGAACCCGAGGGACCATGTGGAAGACGGCTAGTGCTAGTCCCCTATCGGGAGGACGACCCCGGCTAGTCGCCGACCACCCCCACAAAGAACCCTGCACAAAGATCGCACGGGCGGGGACCTGTTCCTTTTTACCCATCTCACAGTAGAGGTGTCCGTTTTTATTTATTTATTTCTCCGCGTCCGTGTCGCCGCCGCCGCCTTCCCTAAATTATGTGCTGGGCAGTCAGTGCACACCCCACGCGCACACAAATCACTATCAGTATCCGCACACACACCACACACGCACTTTTTTCATGGATGGACTTGGAGGATGCCCGCAAGAAAAGAGAAGAGCGGGGAGCTCTTTCCGCCGGCGGGCGCGGCCCTAGAGGGCTACAGCCTATACTGCAGCGTGTACGGGCGCGACCGGCCCCCCAGCTTCGGCTGAGGGTTGACAAGCTGCGGAGCCCAAATCACTGTGAGAGGCGTGATTTCTTTTTGGATTTCAAAAATCTCTCTCTCTCTCTCTCTGGACGCACCAGCGAAAAAATACATAGAGAGCGCCGGCGCATGAGATATGCAACGCAATCCCGGCCCGCGGGCCCGCCGCCCCTAGACCACGGCCACGAGGGGGTGGCGAGATTACAAGGGTGAACTCGGTAAATACGCCGCGACGGGGGGGCCTACCCCAGGTCCGCGTCCGCCTCGGTGACGATTGAGCCGACAAGCGGCGGCAAGTTGGTTGGCCTACCGGCAGCAGCGTCGGGGGTCTCGGATTGGGCCGGATCGCGCAGGCCTCCCGGACGGGCCGCGGCTGACCGCGCAGACGCAGCCTTGGGCTTACGCTGGCTGAAGGTGCGCGCGGCTTGGTCGATGGCCCGGAGCTGCAGTTCGAGGGGGGGGCCAGGCGTGAGGGCTCTCAAAGAGACGCACGAACGAACCGGCGACTGCAATCCCGAGGCGAAGAGAGTGCGTGTTCCGCGCGGCGTGTGGCGGCGGCGCACCCTCGCGCGCATGGTCTGCTCGGCGTCGATGTGCGGCGGCAGGCGGAGGCAGCGAATGTCCTGCCCTCGCACACGCAGTGCCTTGTGCTGCCCGCTGTCGCCCGCCGCCGGCCACGCATCGACAGCAGACAGCAAGACGCTGGGCGCGGCGCGGGCGCGCGTGTTGTGAGAGCTAGTGAGGACTGCACGAACGGCGGTGGGGTGCGGCGGTGGGCGGGCGCACTTCATTTGCCCGTCGGCCTCTTCAAGCCACCCTGTCAGCAGCGTGTCGTCGAGCAGCTCGATGGTCACGCGCACGCGGCCGATCGTCCCGTCGAGCCGACGCTGCTCGGCGAGGGGACGCTGCTCGGATATCAAGGTGAGCGTCGGCTCGGAGGACGACGTGGGTGTTTTGCGTTTCGACATCGGCAAAAGCGGCCAGGAGCGGCGTATGGTGTACTCGGGCACGGTGAATTCTTAGAATACAAGCCTGTAGCTCAGCACACTCACGTAGAAATTTATCTGTAGTGTAACCCACTCCTAATATGAGCGTCATTTTGTACCGACCCCCCCTACTTCGTGGGGACCCCCCCGCCGGTCGGTGGTCTGCCCCCGAGGTGGACCGGACCCCCCCTCCGGTCGGTCGCTCTCTCGGAGGCGGGAGGTGGGTGTGACGACCGACCCCCCCCTCGGTCGGTGTCCTTGCCGTGAGCCCCTCAATCAAACGCTCTCCCTCCTTCTCTCGCGAACCGCTACGGGCGCTTCGAAATCGCCGGTTTAACTTTTCACTATGAAAACTAGTTACGCGGCACGCTGTTGCAGTTTTTTCATGCGCCACCGCGAGTCCAGCCTCCATTTGCTGCTGCTCGCCAGCGGCGCGTCAGCTGTGCAGGACATTTATCGCATCCCAGCGTCGCGCGTGGCCATCTGCCTCTCGCCAAAGGTGGCCAACTCGGAGATTATGGACTACGTTCACTGGACGCAAGTCGGGCCACCTCTAGCGTGCGCGTGGAAACCATCTCACGTGTTGACAGAAGACGCGGCATGCAATCACACGGACGATGAACACGCGAGTCGGCTACGACGGCCGGTGCCCGCGCCGCTTCACACGTGTGGCTACCAGGTGGATAGAGAGGTGGGCGGTGTCCTCAACCTCACGCGCTGCCCCGGTCTGACCGCCGCGTACACGCTCTACGTGCCCTTGCGCGACCCGCTCACACGGCTGCTGTGCGTCTTCCATAGCAAGTATGGCAGCAAGACCAGCAAGGAACGAGACGAGGCATTCCGTCGTGGCTATCTTCCAAACTTCTCGTTGGATCCGTCGCGTGGCCCCGCGTTCATTCGCTACCTCGACGCAGTCACCCGCCTGCTGGATGATTGGCATGCCGGCCGTAAAACGCCCCACCCGGATTGGCACGTGCTCACCCAAGCCGACCAGTGCCTCTCCAAGCCGATGGCCGAGCTGCAAGCTTACGGCCGCCGCGTCCGGCGCGTGCCGATGCCCATTGACCGCCCGTTCCACGGACGAGGCAGCGGGCTCGACGCGCTCTCGGAGGCGCTCGGGCTGCCGGCGGCCGCCAACTTCACGTCGCTGATGGGAGGGAGCTACCATTTCCAAGATGCCTGCTACTCCCCGGTGCTCGACGGCCAGTCGCCGCAGCTGATGAGGGCCATCGTCAAGGCGCTCGCGCCGAGCTATGCGGCGCTGCGCAGTCAGTTTGGCGTCAACTACAGCTATCCGGAGAGTGAGGCGGCTCTCTCGCGCGCGGCCAGCTCGCGCTACGTGCGGCTATGCACCGCGTCCTACTCGCTGTTCGCGCGCAACGCGTCCGATGCGGTCTGGGTGCATCTGTATGGCAGGTCCTCCGATCCGCTGGAAGGGGCGCCCGCTGCGGGCGGGGTCGGCGGTGTGCGTATGTGAGCATGCCACTGGCCCTGCTGTGATGTGATAGCGTAGGGCTGTGCAGGGCTGTGCAGGGCTGTGTACTTGAGCAGGGTACTGACTACTGACTGTGAACACA